CTTGTATAGTCCTCAGAAAGATTGGCTTTTCGGTTCACTAGTTCTATGAACAAACTATAAACTCGGAAGAAGTCACTAAGTTTAAAATTCCTTGTGTTGATGTGTAGTTATTCGGACAGTCAACACAAAATAACAATTATAACTCTATGCTTTCTTCTTGATCATGAATTGGAAGTTCTAGTTAGCATGAAGTTGAGTAACTGATTAATAATTGGTTTATGAAAATTTACAGTTCTATAGTATGCTGTCAGTTGCTTGTTTAACCATTACTAGTCTGAATTACACTGGAAAATATTTCTCGAAATTGTGGAATGATGGACAGCATAAAATCAAACACGAAAACGTCAACACACAAAATGAGACAATAAAGCGGAAAGCCGAGTAAGAGCGCATACGTTTCAGTTGTTATACTTGAGATTATTATAGCAAAAGAAAATCAGAAAGAGTATAGGCATGCAAAAGGTAAAAATCTAAACTAAGAGAGGACAGATTGAAAATTCAGAGGGACGAAAAAGATAAACGCATATCGATCACTTTAACTCATCTACAAACGCTATCTAGTGTCGTCAACTACTGATTATTACCCTCCTAACGGACTGATTATAGTCTGACTGAACCTACCTACCTGCAGTGCTCAAACCAGCAGTCAAAAAATTATTGATGTCTAATTAACATTTTCCAGCCTTATTTTTTAAAATCTGTCAATGCGAAAAGGAATGAACAGTGATTCATTCTCATTTCCATATATCTCACCCACTTCAATTAGTTTATTTTTAAAATCTTGCTAATTCAATTAATTTTTGTGTAAGGAAATATTTGCACAACTCATTCAGTTGGTAGATCACCAACTAGTAGTACACAAAACGTTTTTATAACAAATACATAAAATGCTTTGGTTTTTTATCTTTCTTAATCATATCCTAAAATTTTACACCGGGAGGAAATGCTTTGACGCATGGTTTATCTGTTCTTTGGTGGGCAGTTATGCATTAAAATGACAATCATCAAATGTGTCTTGTGCATTGCTATTGGGATTTCACCAATAACTAGCCTGTCAAAATAGATGCAGCTCCCGAAATCAGTGGAAAACACTAAAGTACTTAACCACTTCATTTCTTATCCCCAAACTGAATGTTGATGAAGACCAGTCTTGAAGCAAAATCTAAAAATTGTCTTAGGTACAGATCACAATAAGATCAATTGCAAATACATACACGTCTTCCATCGGAAGTCCTAGTAAGAACTTGGTTAGATGCTAACATTTTTCTGGTTTCTTGATATAAATATGGTCGATATTTAGCACAATATGTAGTATAAGTGACAGTGGTTTCCTACCAAGGACTTCTGCCTATTCAAAAGCTATACACGAAATGCAATGCTGAAAGATTTCTATTACCATCACGATATTTGTTTGGAGTACTGAACAAATTCATTGGCGATTTTCGCTTGAGCGAGTTTATGTTATAAACTTGAAACAATGAGAATATCAATAGTAATTCTCAAATTGAATGTTAAAATATTAGTCTGATACAATGTTGAGTTATTTTACTCATGGGTGGGAGCCCTTGTTTTATCAAGAATATCAAATCTGGTTAGCACTTCACAGAATAAAGCATGACATACCTTACATCTAGCTGAAAGAATTGTTCCACGTATTTTTTAGATTCAGCGATTTAGAAGTAGAGTTCTAAACAACTCGTGGGTAAAATTTGTTTCTTGCTGGTAATAAATCCCTCCCCTAAAATGTAATACTAACTACCATTCAATAGCAGGGTCTGATGATGCACTTCATAAATAGTTGTGTACAATAGCATGATGAAAAAAAAGATATGGGTTCATTTTTATGCCTTAGTATATAAAAAGCAGTCCTTGCTGCATACATCTGACGTTCAAAACCTCAATCACTAAAATGACTGACACTTGAAAATTCACTATTTGGTGGGGGAAATCCAAGTCTTCTCCATGCATCAAAAGCCCTAATTTTCTTAAAGACAAACTACGTTTCTTTTAGATAGGGTATATCTTCCCACTTCTACGATTCTTTAAAGTTAGATTCACTGAAAACCTACGGAACAGTAAAATGCCATGTGCCGCTTCCTTAATGTGGGAGGACAATCAGAAATCTTGCATATTTCACATGTTAGGGTTTGCATTTGAATCCATTGTTATAGTCCTCAGAATAAGAGTTCCGATTAAAGCTTCCCTTTCTTTGCTTAACCATTATTTTTGGATTGGATTTTTTCATCGAGTAACTGCACGCAGACGAATGTTTCTTTATAAAGTGATGTTTTCAAATGCTAGAGCTGTGTTTTCAAACTTCACAGGCTGGTGAGAAAAGAGAGGTACTTTGATGGCTTATAAGAGCATTCAAGAGTTCGTGAAATGCACTAGAGTGTGATACTTTATGTAGATGGGCATTAAACATGGTAAGTCCCTATCGAACTGTAGGAAACTATTCTAATATTCAAACGAAATCTAGTTTTTCATCATTTTTTTTTCTTATGATTTATGTTGTCTTATGACTATGTTCTGGTAAGGTGGTACAAAACTCTAGGTTCAATATGGTTTACACAAATCCAAGGCCTGTAGAAGTACTTCACTTACTTCAGTTGAGTCTTTCGTGATTTGTAATATGATGACCAAAAGCTAAACATATAAGCACGCGATTGTTCTACAGACTATTAATATTACAAACACAATGTGAAGATTGCTTCTAAGTTGTGGAATACTGAAGGTGTGCTCATTTGGCTACTCAGCTTTTATCAACTTACTACCATTGTTACTTTTATTTTCTGTGTTCACATTTTCTATAATGCCTTTAATCTAGGATGAAGCTGATCACAAGAGATGAATAAAGCTTTTAAAACGCTTGAAAATGAGTAAATGGATCTTAGACCCATATCTTCACTCTATTTCAGAAAAGCGATAGGATAGTGTAGATTTAGGACCGCATAAACTATTTATTGTTCTTTGCTGAAAATCAAAATTTCCTCCGGCTTTTCCTCAAGATTTGCCTAATTCTACAATTAGCCACCATCTTTTCTCCCATTAGTTAGCCTAAGAAGAACATATTTAAGAAGAAGAATCTTATAGCAGAAGACAGTAGATATATAAGAAGCAGCGCCACACTATACGTTGAAACATTTTAAGTGAATTGTAAGTAAGTAGAAAAAATTAATCAGGGGTAAATCTACCAGAATCACAGGGTGTATTTCAAGTGCATTGTCCAAAAAATTTCAGTGTTTATCTCACAAGAATTTACTCACTCAATAAGCAGTAAGAGTAGTCAAACTGGCTACAATTTTTAATGGATACTACCAGTTTATAAATACAAGTTGACTGTTTAGCACAATGCTCACGCTTCTAAATTCTTAAAACCTTATTTATATTCTATATTTGGTGATCCGGGAGGCTAGATTTAGATAAAGTTCTCGAAACCATTATATTGCACAGAAATGAGGTACTGAGAATGTTGACAGATATATTGAGTTATTTTCGGGAACCCGTTATATTTACTTTAATAAAGTTTGTATTACCATAATGAAACTGATTAATGTAAATACTAGTCGAACAGCAAAATGAAACTAGTGTGATCATATGTATTTACAAAAGGGTTATTCTTAACAGGATTTTGGTATCCGTTATCCGTTTGATTATGCATTGTAGACCTATTTGTTTAGATATATTCCATTCTCAGTTAATGGTTACAACTCTTGGTTCTTTTAGTATGTGCTGGATTTTTGACTACTAGTTCACTTCGAGCAAGGAAACGTCAAGAGTTTATTAGACGCCGCTAAAACTGGTAAGTGTATGGCATTTCATTTTTTTACATCTGTTAGAAACATCAATTCTAATATCATTAAATAGTCACAAAGTTATTCAGTACATGTTGGGGTTAATAAGTGCGGGAAGGTGAAAACAAATAACGTTTAGATGAACAAGTCAGAACAAAATTGGGCGAGTAAGAGTAAAACTTGGACACTGTGTTGGAGTAAAATTCCATATTAGATTGCTTATATGATATGGCGTATAGTAAAGCATTATATATATATATATATATATATATATATATATATATATATATATATATAAACGAGCTGTTGGACTTAGGAAGGAAATTTGAAATTCGCGTGGTTACTCTGATGTGAATATTAGCAATAAATTCCACTGAAAATATCATCTGCTAAATAATAGTGCATCAATATACGCCATACCAAATAAACAATCTAATAAGAGAGATTAGGTTAGGTTAGTGAACTTATAGATAGATAGAACCGACAATCTACGAGAATACAGGTAAGAACATTTTAGTATGGTACTGAAAGCACATGCATAGGGACGTCTAGTTTTCTTTACTGAGTTCCTTCTTTAGTTGGGTGACGTCATGATCTCACCTAAGCAGCAGCTTAAATGTTTGCTTGTACGTTTCCGACGTTTCTTTGGTAGTTTATGTGAATTGGTTATGACTACATTCAGTGATGGTGTAATATCAAACAGTAAAATATAAGATAGTCCATTAGATATTTTCCGTATACCGTTCAAATATGTTACTTCATTAACTGATACGTTAGTCTTTCGACAGTATCTTTTCGATTAAGATGCAGAAATACTCCTAAGTTGTATGCAGCCCTATTTAGTCATTCTTCTGCACATAGTGACTGGCAGTAATACATATACTTTTTCCGGTTGATACCATGATGCCATTCAGCATTCTTTTTTCCAAAATGCTTTTGTCTTCATATAGTGTACTTCAAAAATTATCTTCAAAATAACAAATATGTGGTGGTTGGAATTGAATTCAAGTTGATATGATCATAACTAGCAAAACGATGACAGAAAAATGCCCCGAAAATGCAACCAACTTATTTTCGTTCCTACCTAAGTGGAAGAATGATCGTTTTGGATATGAACATCAAATTTTTGTAAAACCGACTCATACAAAGTAAACTCAATTTTAACATTACATTTGTTAGAATGTAATGAGTAAATTATATACTCACCATCATAGACTCTTGCTTGGATTTTTCCAAAGCAGCAACAAGCTTTGCTTCGGCATCTTCCGGCACTTTTGACTTTTGCTGAAGTTCACTATATTTCTCTGGTGGAATAACTATTCCCTTTTTACCAACATAATCCAAAGGTATGCTATAATACCTAGAATAACTAGCTATTTTGTCTTACATAAGATCACGAACCAAATCAGAAGAATAATGTCGTATTTTCTTCCTTCTTTGATTTTCTTTTTCTGTTTCACATTCTTCCCATGGTACAACTTCACCAGGCATTTTTCTCCTTGAGACAATAATTTCCCGCTCTTTCACATTATTGTTATTCTGCTTCTCTAACCGGCACTATGGTAGTTTAGTTTTTCAATTAATTTTGAGAACCTGACGTTCCTTAACATGTAAAGGTACTCCAAACAGATTCTCATCAACATTAGAATGTCTGCTGATGGTACGATACGTTGTTGCTTTCGATCGCTTGGAGTGAGAGGAATTGGATGAATGAAAGCTGTGACTACGTGTTTCTCCACTTATATTGCTAGTTGCTGGCTAAAGAATAACGAAATATTTATAGTTCAGAAACCCCAAGTTTTCATACCATCGTCAGCTTCGTTTGTAGTTATGACAACAGCTGGTTTAGTGTAGAAAAAGAAATTCGAGATCCTCGTACTGCACTTGGAGCAGGTTAACAGCTCCACCCATTATACCTAGGCGGTTCTTGTGACATATTTCAAATCGAAAAGTTATAAAGTTTCTTCTCATAAGAGTTCAAACTTTGTGCTGTAAGATTAGTGAACGGTGGTTCCTTGGGTTCTATGTCGGTCTTATTGGGTTAAGTTCTAGGTTTCGAATAATCACATTTGTCTTCCTGATTGCGAAAAACCTGAAAGGAGAGAGATAACCCGTGAAATAATCTGGTTTCCAGGTAATAAACTGCTCCTGATCAGCAGATGACGGAAAGCTTCTCGAGTACATCCCTTCAGCACCACAAGGCTCTAGGTGTGCATCTAACCTCATCTTGAAAGTATAAGGGGATGGGGTTGTACCAGTCAATGTATGAAGTTTTACAGTTAACAAACTCTAACACGGATCCTTTCACTTACGTGGTCATGCTCTAATATTTATGGATGGTCCATAGGGCGGAGTTTCTTATTAAACATCAGGAGGGATCTGTCAGGGTGAGGGGGGTTATTGGCAATGTGGTTCGTCATAATTATATCCCTTGTGAACCTCAGGTATTGCACTTTATGCCCCTTAAAGCCAACCACGCGGTCTAGATTAAGTTTGGACTTTGGCCTAATCACATTCTTCACAACTTTTCTGTGACCCCGTTCGATGGTGGCTGTGTCCCTTCTCAAGTATGGGGATTTCACGACCGAGTCTCTCTCAAGATGAGGTCAGATTATGGCGTGAACACTGCGGTGAAAAGAGAAAGAGTCAAACTCCATATAGTTCCCGATAGAAAACCGGAGACTCTACAGGCCTTGTTGGCCGCAGGGCGAAAGGGGGCTGAAGTTCCTAGTTTGTCTCTTGGTGCAACTTCAAGGCTTTGTTCCATGCTAGAGTGACAGGTATTTATTCCGCTCAGAGAGTAAGGATCCGGACTAACGTTTTAATCTCTCGACTATCATTATCCCACACCCCTTCGATCTGAGAGGGAGTAGGCTTTCTAAGGTCCAACTTTGAATTTTCATAGGGTCCTCCTGGAGGACCGAAATACCCGTTGGCACCTGTATTTCCTCCGGAATCTTCGCACCATCCACATCTAAACTTGGATGAGTGTTGAGGGATCCTGGTAGGTCACGCATGAAAGCAAGAAACGCCAGTGGACCCAGAATAGAGCCACTCAGAATCGGGAACCAATTAGATGAAGAGCAGCCGACTCTGGCCGGCTGTAGTCCACTGCCAAATTAGTAATTTTCCATGTACATCCATGAGCTGAAGTTTCTCACATGGGATATCGTGACTTGCTCTTTCAAAGGCCTTAGAAAATTCGAGTAAACTAATGTGAGAGAGCTTTTTCCGTTCAACATAGAGTTCTGGTATTTCAAGCTATTATCAACCTGGTGTTTCATGACCTCCCAGGTAACAAACAACAATGACAATCGCAGGTGGGAATGATTCAAACTCAAAATGATGTGTATGTACTGTAAAGTGATATTTTCCTGCCATATTCATAACAATTAGATGCTTTGTATCATGATGGAGTTCAATGCCCTCCCTCTGTGCCATTCAAAACCGCTCAAACTTTTATGTTTCTCTGCCACTATGAATTTAATGAGGCCTGTAAACCGGCTTCTCTAGTGTTAAATTCATAACCTCAGCATCAGGATTTTGTTGATTTATTTATTTGCTTAAGATTGAGTTCTTGAGTAAATAATCACGAAACGAGTCATTTATCACTATTCCAATGACCTTCACAACTGAGGAGATCAGGAGGTCCGTCTATTGTTGGAAGTAAATAACCTGTTTCCACCTTTACATCTTGAGATGAAAGTCATGCGTGACCTGCCTTCCAGAAACCAGCATGTGAAGCTGCTTGATGGTGAGGCACTCAGAACAACAGCACACCTTGAGTTTTCTTAGGTGACCCCCATCAGTTCCTGGAGACCTATCCGAGTTCGGGTTCTTTAAGATTCTCGTAAATATAGAAGGTTCAAATCCTATATGGCTTATCCCTCCGGTGATATGGGTGTCCGACAGGCGCATGGTTTTCCCTCTATAAGTAAGAAGATAGAGCGTTATTAGTAACCAACCATCATAGACGATTTTTTCCGGAGATTGTTTGTTGACAGCATCCATTCTGAATACCTCTTGTCGGTACTGCCAAATGGGAGGCGAAGATACAAACTCCGTTTTCCGGAGTCTGGCAAGGAAACCATTGTACGTTCTTATCTTTGAGGAAGATACACAAACTCTTGCGCGTTCATGTTCAATGCCGTAAATACTGCATGCCAGATTATTTTAGGGCTGTTTTGACACAGAGGTCTTTTGGCACGCTAAACTGCAGGCAGTAGAATGTACCGCGAGATCATCTGTACTGCGGCATATTCAAAAATGTTAAATGGCCTGATTTCTTAATGCAATCACCTCTGAAACTGTTTTGACGGGGGCGATATCCTAGACCATAGTAAGACGGGTTAACAACACAGCTCGCTTCAAGATGTGATCACTTGCAGATTTTTGCAGTTAACATTGACGCCTAACCCTCTTACTCCCTGAAAGGTTTCAGGAGACTCTACTACTCCTTATCACAAACTATGCTGATTACTAGCGCACAGCATTCAGTCCTTCTCAGCGGCAAGTTGATGGGCTGGAATATCTCACAGCATCGACACGGACAACCAAATCAGTCAGGTCAGTGCCAATGTTCTCAATACCAAGCGACCAAGTAAAGGCCTCTGATGAGGCTCAGTGGACATGGAGGACGAAAGCGACGTCGGCAAACAAACCTTCTCATTTCCCAGCCAAAAGAACGACAATTGTTTGGCCCTTCCGGCAAAAATTCCCTTATGTCTACACAACTTGCAGCAGTATAACCAAATACTTCAGCCTTCTGAAAACTTCGGCGAGATCCTCAGGTACGATGTGTGCAGGAATTTACACTCCTAAGAACCTGTCCGATCAGTCGCATTTCATCAGCATTTCGGTTCCAGGTGACCCATTAGATGTGAATGAATTTTGGAGTCAAACCAAATTAAATTCTGATGCAAATGGCTCCAGAGAGATGCACATACAGCCCTTTCAATGATCACCACAGTGAATGGATTAGAGAAGCCAATTTTCAGTCTCTAACATCTTGTTTGCACCCACTCTTGCACATGCATGTGAAATTCTTTCTCATTAGACCATAAGGAAACTTCTGAAGGATAGACCACTGAAGAATCAGGTAAGAATTTGTATTCATTGCCTAGGTATTCATGGTCCTGTGCAGCTTAGCTAGGGAGAACTACACAGATTTATGTGTTGCAAGATCACAGTGTTCGTCAATTTGAAATTAATGAGATCCAGATGCCAACTAGTCACTTCAGTTTCGAGCAACACGGTAGTGTTTCGCCCCATTTGAGCGATGTAGCACCACTGCCTTCCCATCCCAGTACAATCACTTTTGTTCATTGAACCGCCGAAGGGTAACTTTCGTCGACCCTGAGAGCCAAGTAACGAAAACTGTTCTCGCGTCTCAAATAAACATATGACAGGCTTTTCCCTGTTTGTATTCTAGTGGCCGCTATACCATCATAGATTCGATGAGGATGCTTATTCTGAACCATTCAGTGTTTCCTACTGCTTTTAAGTGCCTCCACTTGGCTAAGTATTCTAAGATATGCTAGGTTCTGCATTCAGCTGCTTGCCACGAACAGACCAGTGGGTGTTAGATTTCGACGTCGAATCTAATCCCAATAGCGGCAAGAAACAAGTAGAAGAATGTTCGTCAAAGCTCTCAAGTGCATTCCCTGATAAGTTAAAGACATGGTATTCCTGCCAGTCGAAAATTGAATTAATCCGTGTGACTTTTTTTGTGGTTCTAGGAAAAAGATAACATGAATTGTCTCGGCATGTCTGAAGACATTTGGGTTGGCAATAGTTTCGATAAGCGGAGACCAGTTATTTGCTGATTATACGCAATGGTTGAATTAAACAGCTAGTCTGAGACTCTTGTTTGAGTGGTAACTTGCAAATACTTCCCCTAAACAGCCCCTATAATAAGGTGCTTCAGTACCTGATAAGTATCGTTCGACAGTTCACCGCCAGACTTCTGTAGATACAGAATTCATTGTTCGCCAGGCGAAGGCGTTCTCCCCGGTTGCTTATTGCTTCTCGCAAGTTCGTCTTCATTAGAATATATCATCCCGCTGCCGATTCATGCCATATATTTTGCTCTGCAATAAACCGATGGCATTCATCTTTTATTGGCTGAGCCAACTACGCCGAAAACTTCATGCTTTTTGCCATTGTTATAACGGAAAGCCACAAATTTTTCAGGTACCTTCAGGTTGTGGCACAATAGTGGAACTGAAACCATGATAAAGGACGCCTTCTGTTGGGCGCTGGCCTATCGCATTTCATCGTTGGAGAATGTTCGCTAAACAATAATATTTCACCCCTGGCTATACGTCAAAATACCATTTGTACGGATGTGTTTATTGGGAACTATTTGTTAACCCTTGTATATCCTTTTAACTGCTTCCTAGTTGGCAGCAGTCCCCAAGTGCAACAGAAACAACAATGTGTATGATACAGTTGGTGCAAGCAAAAGTGAAGATTAGCTGTTGCAAATTTTTGTGATTTGTAAGTTACCGGAATCTCCTAATTCATGCAGAAGGAAAGTGTTTCAAGCCATAAACGGTGAACAAATTCATAAGAATAAAACGAAGTGGTTCGTGCCAGTGGAAGATGAATCATTCTGATTTCAGTGATGGGAACGATTGTTTTCCCGTTGAGAAGATAAATGCTTTTGATAGCTAACCATTGGATTCACAACAGTAGGTATGTTATTAATGTACAGCCTTGTAAACTGGGTACACAACAGACAAACATTCTAAAAAGTATTCATGGGTGGGGGAAATGTTGTAGGAGTGAGAGCCACTTCTGATAATAATAATAGCAATAATGATAGTAATGATGTAGCGTCACACGCTTCCCCAAAATCAATGACTTAGGGTTTGGCAAGATTCAGCATTGGTGCCGACCTTGGTAGTTTAACTGGACTGGCCAGGCTGA